AGGCTGACAGGCCTGTAATTTCCCAGGCCCTCCTTGCAACTCTTTCTGTGGATTGGTGTGACATTCGCCAACTTCCAATCCTCTGGGACCTCCAGGAAGTGGAGGTGAGCCCGGACTGACCCAGTGGGCCAGGACTGTCGGTAAATGATGGAGAGAGGCTTGGTGAACTCTTCCACCAGCTCCCTCATCACTCTGGGATGGATCCCATCCAGTCCCATAGATTTGTGAGGATCCAAGTGGCCAAGCAGATCTCTGATCATTTCCTCTCGGATTTCAGAGGGGCTGTTTGGCTTCCTATCTCTGTCTGTCAGCTCTAGAGGCCAGTTGTCCTGAGGCCAGCCTGTCCTACTATTAAAAACTGAGGCAAAAGTGGTGTTAAGTACCTCAGTACATCAAGAAGATCCTTGTGGATATTCTAGGACTCTGATTTTGGAGAACACCTTACACTGGGAAAGCGCTGCTGCTCCATCTTCCTTTCAGGCAATGGGATGAACAGTCACTGCTGATGCTGAAAGCTGGAGAGGCTGTGGGGTTAACAAGGTGTGGGGTGGGAATTGTCCATGAAAGCAAGGGAGAAGGCTGTGACACGAGGCTGTGAGGTGGTGATGGGGACGTGCCCGCCAGTGGCAAACCCTTTTCTAGTTTGACCCTTCCGCTTAATCTGAACTTGAAGGTGAATGAGCAAAGCTTGCTCATCGATCTGGGATGCGGCCGATGAGTGCCATGCCCTGCGGAGAGCTCAGCCCCAGCACCGGGTCCCTCTCTCACTCATTTTTCCCTGCCTCCCCTTCACGCCTTTCCAAAGCCATCAGTCAGACCATGGCATCCCAGGCCGCCGACCTTGCTGGGGGCCAGGGAGACAACATATAGGTCCCTGCAGAGAGTTGTCCCACTGTCTGATGGGCTTCTCCCAGCTACCACCACCACCTCTCTGCTGCCGGTAAGCCTGGCATCTGCCTGCCATCAGCTTGGGGGTGTGGGGAGGCACAGGACAAGGTGATGGTGTTGGTACCTGTAGCGCCAGGAGCCACATTTCTCATAGGTATTGGTGTTGTCTACTAAGCCACACTCTGGTTCTCCTGGTTCAAGGGTCTGATGTCTTAGCATGGGCAAAATATAACCTGAAGCATCTCTGCAGCACTCTTAGTGTTTAGCTAAAATGTTGTATAAACTCACAAAGTGTATTTTTTGACCCATTGGGAAGCAAAACCTTGTTTTAGGTTGAAAACTTAGAACTTGTCTTGGCTGATAGATAAAAAGCTTGGTTTCAGGGAGAAAGCATATGATGTGCCTTCCCTTCGTGTCTTCCATGCTTTAGCCACAGATTTTTTTTCCCACTGCTGAAAATAACAAACCATTTTAATCTAAGTATTGCTTGTTCTGATCTTTTAATCCAGCTTGCTTTCTATTGGTGCAGCAGCCTGAAATGATTTCTCTGCCTGCCTCTCTATTATATAATTATTGGGAAGATTACTGGGGAGCCAGCTTTAGCTGGGGAAGGAGGAGGGGGCTGGAAGGTGGAGGGGTTTCATCATGGAATTGTGGAATGTTTGGGGTTGGAAGGGACCTTAACCATCTTCTAGTTCCCACGCCCCTGCCATGGGCAGGGGCACCTTTCACTAGACCAGTTTGCTCACGTTTCTTCTCTCCCTTTGCATTTGAGTATGGAAAGTTTCTCCCTCAGATTGTGTTTGTTGTAGTAAAATGCCCCATGGTGTGGCTGGTGGCTGGAGAAGCATGACCCTGGAGCTGGAGAGGATTTGGGTGAAACCCTGCGCTTCTCTATGTGATTGGGGAATTTTATGGCTGTACTCGTGGTTTTGGGAACAGCATAGTGAGACAGTCAGGTCTCAGAAAGGACCTGGAATTAGGGCCTGTGCTTCTGATGCTTCCTGTCCTCATTCAGAGCTGTGGAGGGGGAACAGCCACAAGGTAGAACCATCATCTGGGACATGGTGGTGATGCCAAGTACGGGTGGAGGTGGCCATGGCTTTTTCACCAAAGCCCAAGCTCAGCTGGTTCTCCAAGCAGCCTTAGATGTTACCTGTGAACAAGACGGGCTCAAGCCCTTGGACGATGGGGTGGCTGGGGACAGCTGCTGCAGAAGTGACATCAGTGACACCCAAGGGCAGATGCCAGAGGTAGATTCATTTAGAGCTTTCCATTGGCAGGGGAGATGTGAAGGCGTATCCTTGGCATGGCAAAATGGCACAGCCAAGGGATTTGCCATCAAGGAGGAGAGTTGGGTTGCCAGAAAAATGCAGCTTCTGACTGGCATGATCCATGGGCTTGAGCTTTGATGGAAAAAACATGAGGAAGTCTGAGGCTCCAGAAATTCCTTTTCCTTTCCCCAAACTGAGTGTCCTGACACTGATGAGCTGGTACCTGCCCTGGTTACTGAGGGAAGGACATAAGATGCCTGTGAACCATGGCTGGCTGGGATGTGGTATGTCAGAGCTGGGACAAGGAGAGACCCCCAGCACCAGTCAAAGTCAGAAACTGGGTGCTGTGGCTTTGTTTTCCTTGCTCCAAAGGGTCTCAGGGTCCTTTTGGGAGCAGAACATCCCCAGAATTGTGCTGTATTTTGGGTTTGGTGAGTGTCTATGTCCTTTGAACCCATCATGGCCATGGAGTAATGGGGACAGGCGATGCCCACCCAGCGTGTGCCATGCTCTCTGCATTGCTCTTGGTCCTGCTTCCCAGAAAACTGTTTCAGCAGTCCCCCTCCCTCCAAAGCAGGAGACTTACTCTTGGAGCAATTGGTTGGTGCATCAGCTGGAAGGGCAGCAGAGGACAGGAACAGCTGAGAAAGGGTCAGGAGCAACATGGGAGCACAAGATCATCTGGTTTGGGTGATGAAGCAGTTGTAACACATCCCCTTCCTCCAGGGAGCCAGCTGAACTCTGGGATGTGCAGGCAGGGTTTCAGCCTGGTCCTTCCCACTGTGCTGCTGCGTCCGAGATGGAGGGTATAGCATAGACCTCCTCTCCCTGCTAGAGGCACCTTTCCTGGAGTGGCTGGGCAGGTGTCCTATAAAGCATGCCCAAATTTCCCCCTGCACACAGGCAGTGCCTTGGTGCTTATCTCGTTCTGAGCACCTTTCTCCTTTGTGTTGGAACCATTGGCTGGTTCACCCTCATCGCCTCGAGGCATCCAGATTTGCTCAGTGGCCTTTAAAAAAAAAGATAAAAAAATTAAATAAATCAAAGCCCATGAAATGACTGAAACATCAGCAGTGGTTGCATCCCCCCTATCCAGCAAACCCAGGGATTTGGGAGAAAATAGGTCACGTGCCCTTCATCCCATGCCACGTGGTGGATCTCCCAGGGCCAATGAGGTTGGGAGTCCTTCTGCGCCGACCAGCAGAATAAAAAAAAAAAAAAAATCACTGGGATTCTTTTCCCCCCCATAGCATTTTTCATCCTTTCCAAACGTGAAAAGACTGGCCATCTGTCTGGACCCTGCTCCTGCCAAAGCAGCACGACAGCAGCTCTTTGGGGAAGGTAAGGAGATTTGAGAGTTCCTCTTGGTGGAAGACCACCTGCCATGGGCAACTTTTCCTACCGATGGAGATCAGGGAAGAGTTGTGGAATGAGTCGGGTCTAGGGCTCCAGTGTGGGTTTGGATGCTTGAGAGTAGTTTTAAGTCAGTCTCTTGTTGAGGAAATTTACGTCTGCGGCGGAAGGATTATCATAGACGTTGGTGCACGGGCAATGGGTTCCCCTAGGTTAGCGGTTGCTCCCCAAGTCTCTACTAGGAGATATTTCCAAAATACTACCGGAAAATTATTTTGCCGGATATTTTTTGCGGAATTGTCTTGCCAAATAATTTTTGCAGATTCGTTTTGACAAATATTATTTCAAATTTGCTTTGGAAAATTGTCGTTCTCACAGCGTGTGCTTTGTTGGGATAAAATTCCATTTTGCCCATGTCTGGCATCTAATGCCAAAATTGTCTGCCTGGTAGGGAAGTGTCCATCTCCACCTTGACCAGAATATCCCATTATTCACAAATTCTGTGGTTTGCAGCTCAGGCTTTGAACAGAGTCATTTGTATGTGCGCTTGGGTGGGAATGGCACGGATGGAATTGCCTTCAAGGAATAGATACTAAAACCACAGAGATGTTAATCACATCTTAGTCTGGCAATGGAATAAAACCTGCGACCCTGATTAATTTGATTTTTACCTTCTGATTCCATTTCCTTCTTTTTTTATTTTGAAGTATTTTTAGTTCTTAATTCCACCCTATTCCCATATTTCTAATATTTTAATTTTAAATTCCATTCCCTTTCCAGTGCTTTAAAAATATTTTTGTTTTCTAATCTCATCCTATTTTCATTCATTAGGGTTGGACTTGATGATCTCTGAGGTCTTTTCCAACCTGGTTGATTCTATGATTATTTTTCCTTGCGCCAGGGAAATTTGATTTGGAGAGAGGAATATCTTTTATTCTGACACTTGCTTTGTTTTCAGTTTTCCTTCAGACACCCATTTTCCTCAGGGTGCCTAAATTCCTCCTGATATCATCACATTTCTGTTGCACTTTCTTTGGTTTCGTCGTCACTTTGTAAGCGGAAAAGGGAAATATGAGTTGCAAAGGTTGTAGAGGACTTAAAAGCTGTTGAAATCAATCCCAGAATATCATGTCCTTATTATAAAGGGAAAATGTTCTTGGCTATGTTTGTCTTGAAGTCTGAGTTTTTTGGGATAATGTAATTTGAATGGGAACCATCTTAGAAAAATCTGATTTTATGAGTCAGAAGTCACGTCTGGTGTAAAAATAAACGAGAAACAGTGGATCAAGGACGTTGTGTTTAAGTTTCCATAAAATGATTGACCTTTGTTTTGACAGATGCAAGGACAGATGCTGAGCTGCATTTTGATACAGAAACCTAACCCTGAATAAAACAAAAAAGCATTTTTTTCGTAATAGCTGCGTTTGCTTTTAGTACAGAATTCCAGGATAATTCAGTAATATTTCCAAAGCTCAATCTCAGGCTTCACTCCTTCTATTATGGATGTATTTCTGTAAATACTTTTAACATTCTCTAATACAAAAGCAAAATTAAAATTCTTTCTTCTTGGAAAATAGCTGTAAAAACCTGTTCTTTTAATCTTGCTGAATAGAGTACAGAAGAAAAATTAGCCTTTGGAGTGTGGAAAAAAAGGCTGTTGGTCAAACCAAGGGGGAAAAAAAAAACCCCTCTTTAAGTGCTTTCAGCGTAATTTTAGTGCCTTCAAAATGCCTTGAAGAAGCTGTGGGATTTTAGCATGCAGGATGAGGAAAAGGGAATGCTGTTGGGACTGAGCAAACCCCCTCGGCAGTGGGCAGCACCGCTTTGGGGTGGCAGCAGAGGGGACACAGGCACAGATAGATGCTCAGTCCTCACCTTGCAGGATGCTTCTCTGGGTACTAGCCAGCGATGCTGCTACCCACCCTGCTTTGGTGATCCCAGCATTGCTTTCCTCAGGGGATGGTTATTTGTTTTCCAGGGACTCTCTTGGAAAATGGGTGTTTGCTGCGGAGCAAGCGGAGAGGGCACCTTGCTAGTGGCGTGGCTCCCTGTGGCGGGGGGGCACATGCCTAGCACACTGGGATGATCTTGATCCCGTTGGCGGCAGAGCACTTGGAGCCCTTGTTCGAGTCCGTGGTTCCTAAAGCCGCAGGGTGACACCTCTGTCATCAAGCCCCCGATTGCTGCAGCACGAGGGTGGGTGACAGCCTGCATGACTTGAGTCTTCCTGCCCTCTGCAGCTGCTTTTGTGGCCAGCTGAGTTGGGAAGTGAATTTAAAGGCTTCTCCAATTGGTGAGGGCTGTGTCTATCTCTGCGTTGGGCTTTTTCCAACATTCCACTGAATGCATCCATCCTGGTGCGGCGACTGCATCCTGGTGCGGCGACTGCATGCACACACACACACACACACACACACACACACACACACACACACACATCTGGTTTAATGTCTTTACTTAATTTGGGCTTTGCTAAATGAGCTGGCAGCAGGCAGTGGGTGCACCCTGCTGGCCCCAGACCCCCTCCACCTTACAGATGCACCACTGGACCTGCCTGGATACCACTCATGGCAGAGGCAGGTCGTGGTATTGGTGGCAAAAAAAATTGTCAGAGACCTACAGCCCTGCAGGGATGGAAGCACTGCAGTGGCCGTGCCCTCACTGCCAGGGCCAGGTTTGGGGACAGAGGCAGTAGTGACCCCTTCTCCAGCAGCACCAATTCCCAGTGGAGCCAGTTCATCCATTCCGCTGTTGGAGTTTGGCTCAGTGTTGAGACCCGAGGTTACAGAGGACCTACCACAGGGCGAAGGGGAGAGGAGAAGGCTGCTCTCCTTGATTTAAATCGGGGTTGAGGTTTAGCTGAAGTGAAAACAGATCGGGAGTGACAGTTTTGGAGCCTGCTGTCAGGGTCTGAGCGTGGCGCGGCAGCAATCCACCCCCGGATGCTGAGGGCCTCTGTCCTCCTCCTCGCCAGCCGAACTCAGGGAGAGCCACCACCACCAAGCACGGGATGGGGACCATGCAGCCTGGCTCCATTGCCAGCGTGGCCACCAGGCAGCTTTGTCACATGCTGCCCCTGCATCTTCCTTCCTCATGGTGCTTTTGGCCAGGGACAATGTCAGGCAGGATGTGGACTTGTGGTAGCCATCAGCGTGGGATCGCCTGTGCCAGTGGATGCTTGAAAAACGAAGGTTGGGGTTAGTCAGCATCCTAATCGATCCAGTTGGGATGCTGGGATGCAGGGACAGACAAGTCTCCCTTCCTATGTCTCCCATCAGCCTCCCATTCCAAAGAGCATCTATGGCCAGGGTGAAAGTCACAGGTTTGGGCTTCTGGCACAAGCAGAGCACTGAATCCAACTGGAATTGGTGGGACCAGATTGGTTGTGGCTCCCAGTTGCCCTTCCTTGGTCCTCATGTGTCTTCCATGGAGAGGACTGGCAGAGTGATGCTGTACCCAATCATAGAATCATAGAATCAACCAGGTTGGAAGAGACCTCAAAGATCATCGAGTCCAACCCTACCGTTGTTACTAGACCATGGCACTAAGTGCCACATCCAGTCTCACCTTGAAAACCTCCAGGGACGGTGAATCCACCACCTCTCTGGGCAGCCCATTCCAATGCCTCATCACTCTCTCCATAAAAAATCTCTTCCTAATATCCAACCTAAACCTCCCCTGGCAGAGCTTGAGTCTGTGCCCTCTTGTCCTACTGCTAGTTGCCTGCGAGAGGAGACCGATCCCCACCTGACTCCAACCTCCTCTCAGGGAGTTGTAGAGGATGATAATCTTTGTTATAATCTAGAGAGCGATAATCTGTCCCATATGTCCCCATAATGGCAGTAGCGGGGAATGGGAAGACCTGTTCCCCCATCCCTGGATCAGGAGGGGCTGCCTCAAGTGCTTTGAGAAGTTGGGTGGCATTCATGGGAGCAGACCTAGCTCCCATCTTTCTGTCCACCAGTGCCTGGACAGACCCCTCTGGGACAGTCCATGTGCTCCAAGCCTCATGCCTGTTTCCAGGGATTAGACAAATGGAGATGGGATGAGATGAAGCAGTAGATTGCTTCTCTTTCAGGATGAAGGGATTTGTGGACTGTCCCCAGATCAGTAGATTGAAAATGGAGGGAAATTACTGGGATGATGCTGCTTGCAGGATTAAAGCCAGGGCAGCCAGCAGGCTCTGGAGGAGGAGGGGAATGAGCAGAGTCGCAGATGGGGAGGGCTGTGGAATGGCTGCTGTTGGGCACTGTGTGGAGATGCTCCTGGATGCTCCTGGTTGCATCCTCATCTGTTTTGGAGGATACACTGGAAAGTGGGTGCTTTCTGCTTTCCCAGGGCCCTGGAGGGGCCTTCCTCTCAGCTGCCC